TAACATTCAAGCCTGATCTTTGCAAACCCCTGCAGTTCCAAGAAGCATTTCTCGGAGGAATCTCACCTTCTTTTCGTGATCACATGGAAGATAATGTTATTTGTGCTTCAAATAAGTAAGCAGCCCCAGTTAGCTGCCCTTGTCTTCTAAGAGGAGCTGCACTGTAACGGTGAGACTGTCAGATAATTAAGTCCTTTCCTTTTTGTTGAACATGCTGAGCTTCTCGGCCCTTTATTTCTGCCAGTGATACTGTGTTGAACACAGCTCAGTACCTCGCTGAGTGTGAATTAACCGCTGGGAGTTTTTTCTCTTTTCATAAATCCCATTCTCCCCTTCATGGGGACTTGGTGTCAGCGGCAGCCCTTTCTTGCTTGGGCTCTGAGGGCCACTGCAGCTGCCACAGAGCAGCCACCTGTGATCCCGCCATGTCCTTACACACTTTCTGGATCCTTTCGCCATCTTTAGTTTTAGGATTTGGTCTTTTGAGGCTGTGACACAACACTTCATCTTCTGTAAAAGTGCTTACATGTGGCCAGCTCAGAATGCTTTGGGGGTTCATGAATGGCCAGCTCACCTTGATAATAGAATTAGTAGGGGGCAAGTAGCAGAGGCAGTAAAGCGAGGATGAGTGACTGTCAAGGGGTTGCTTTCAGTATGAACTTTGCAGGCATTGTCCTGGTCTTGACAATAATCCGGAGAGTAGGCACCATGATTTCTCACCTCGTGTAGACCTTTTGTGCTGCACTGCTCATTGAGCAAGCAAAATAATAGAAAAAATATGTATACGTACAGTTTTTCAGAACATAATTATTTACCCAGGATGGTTAAAAAGTACAATCTGGGGTGTGTGGATACCAATTGCTGCAGTACTACCAAATTGATAATGGGGAAGAACAGACAGACAGGAAAGTAATGTCTAGTAAATCTTTATTCTATCAAAAATTAAAAAAAAAAAAAAACACCATTGACTGTCTTTTTCATCTGTCAGAATATACTTATCACACCTCCCAATACAGTATTGGATTTTTTTTTTAATTTAGTTTAGGTCACCTGTCAATCAGCTGTTTAGTTCAATATTGGAAATTCTAATGGAGATATTTTATTAGCGGAATAAGTCACATGGTTTGCCATCACAATTTTCACTAACGTCTGATGTGCTCCTGTCCTGGCCACCATCCACAAGATGATTAACATGTACTCACAAAGGACAAGGGCCTTTCTTTATTAGTGGGGATCATACACTTCAATGCTGTGGTCCCTAAATTGTGGCAAAGGCTCATAGCAAGCCAAGCTCCAGTTCCACAAGCTTGACTCATGGCCTCTGAGTGCCTCAGGTGCTGGCCTATTGGGAAGGAAGAGAGTGGAGAGCCTTTGAGCCAGGCCCCCTTCCTTCCATGTCTGTTGATGAAAACACGTCCATTTTACTTAGCCCCTGTGTCCCTTGTCCTTCTCCTTGGTCCAGGCGTGGGATGGCTGGGCTTGTTAAAAGCCTTCTCCTGTGAGTCCATCCTCTCCTTATCCAGGCTTTCACCTGTTGCTGCTTTCATTTATCTGAATTCAGTGTCAAAAGCTATGTGGTCCAAGTCTGAGGGCAAGGGGCACAGTTCAGGGTGGGGAATTTGAGTAAGTTAAAACCTAGGATGGAAACCTAGTTACTCTATTTGCTAGTTCCAGTGCTCAACTATTGAAACTTTAGGCATGTTCCCTAGGCATTCTGATCTTCAGTTTCTTCATTCTAAAAGCAGAAATAATGACATCTACCTCTCAGAATATGGCAGAGGTTAAATGGCAATAAAGCTGGCATGCCATTTCTACTGATGCAAGTAATGTTCTTCTTTTTCCTCCTTCCTTTCCCTCCCTTCTCCTTCCTCCAAAAGCCTTGCTTCCTCCTCCTCCTTTCTATATTTCTCCTATTCTTCTCTTCCTGCTTCATGGCATATAATCATCACTGTTATTTTCCTCTTTATCCAGATTTATTCCACCCATGCCTGAGTTCATGGAAATCACATTATATCACGCCACATAGATTCAGGAGAGTGTATCTTCACCGTGATCAGAATATGTCCCAGGCACACATATAAAGGAAGATTGATCTGGCCTGATTGGCTCTTCTCTCAGTGGAGTAGGACTTCCACTTATAAGGAAATAAATCGCTTCTCCTCTTGGTTTGCCTTTTTTGTGGTACTGTGCTGAACACCAGGCCTGGGCTCAGAGCAGCTGTGCTTCTAGATCAGAATATATGGGAACTCAGGAAGTTTAAATGAGTTGACAGGTCCCCACCCACTGCAGATTTTTATTCAGCTAACTTGTGACAGATCAGAATTTGATCCAGAAATCCCTAGTAGGAGCAGTTTACCTTAACGGTAGCCCACCAGGGTCTTTGTCTTTCTTCATTGAAATAACTGAACCACCTGAGAAAATTATTTGGCTTTCCTTTGCATCATACTTCTTGATTTCTAGAAAATATTTTTCATATTTTCTTAAAGTATAGATACCTTGTGTGGAAGTCTTTAACAACTTTGATTTTTAATGTTTTAAGAAATTCAGTCTTGTTTAGAAGCTACCTAACCTTGGCCTGTTCTCTGATTTTGCTTAGCTTTTTAGTAACATATATATTTTGTAAATCATATTTTGACATATTTTCATTACGTGCACTCTAGAAGTTTTCTCCAAAGAAAGAACTATATTTGTGGTTTGGCTTTTAGAAGGTTTTGGATTTGCTGAAGATGACTAGTGTTAATTTATGCATCATTTGGCATAATTTTGCATAATAATTTCAAGCATACATTGTAGGATAGAAGACACAGTTAATTAGTCTGACCTGTTGGCTTTTTATTTCAAACATAAAATCCAGAGTATGCACATGTGAAATATCTAATGGATTTCTCAACCATTAACTTAATCACATTTTAGATTATAAGACATTTAAACAAACAGAAATAAGAGAAAAGGTTTAATGGAGATGAGGGTGAAGCCTTAGAGAAGAGCCAGGGCAGGACTCGGGTGTGGGTTGGATTGATAGTATAATTTCTTCAGGACAGAGAATCACCAGTTATTGCCACAACTTCTCTCCTATTTCTGTATCTGAATTTGTTAAATCTTTATCATCTTCTTGGCTCTTCACTTCCTGGCTTTCAGATGACTGATTTTCTTGCGACTCTTGGAATATGTTATATAAATCAGAGCTCACTGCAAAAACAGAACCATTAGACAATGCATATCCACAGAAGAGATCTGCTGGAGGGATGACTCCTTGCTTTCTGTACCCCAACACCCACTGTACCTCATCTACAGTGTCAGTCAGGCCATGTCCAAGACTCACAAACCATCTTGCCAGATGGGGGGGTCTTTTGGTCTGAGGCTGAGGGACTGCGAACATGGTGAAAGGTAGGGGTTGTCACTGACGTAAGTTCTGAATTCCACAAGCCAGAAAAGCAAAAACTGTGAGGCCTGGCAGCAAACAAAGTGGATGTCCCAGCTAAAGGAGAGAAAATCCATTCTTCCTTTTCTTCGTTCCAGTCCCTCATAGGGTTGGATGTGCCCGCCTACGTTGGCAAGGATGCATTGTGTTTAGGTAGCCCACTGGTCATGTGCTTATTCTTCCAGAAACACCTTCACAGCCAGAAATAATCTTCTGCCATCTCTCTGGGCATCTTTCATCCCCAGTTAAGTTGATACGTATCCACCGCAGTGTGTATATCAGTTACATAAAATTAAAGATTAATAGTACAATATGTATACATGTACCTACCGCTTGGAAAATGACAGAACAACTGCCTCCTTTCAGCCCTCTTCTACTATGATAACCACTAACACTACTTTGGTGCCGCTGTTTGGTTGATAATTATATATTTACTACTGGCATATGCATCTGTAAAGCAGAGATGGGGTAGTTTGGGAAAGATAACTTGTGAACCTTAACCTCCGTCTGAAAATTAAAAATGATGCATTCAGTGTTGAATGAAAGCTCACAAGACAGCAGAAATGAATCTCAGGCTACTGTTTTGAGGCCTCAATGTGGACGCTGTGTTGGAAGCTCACAAAGATTTTCTTCTATTCCTTAACCTATCTCTTCAACTTTTTGTTGTGATTTATTCTCCTTCGCTGATTCTTGCTAATCTATCTTGTGCTCCTGGAGTTCTTTTCCTTCTCTTCCCCCTTGTCCTTTTTCTTCCTTCCTGTCCGTGTTCTTCTGTTTCTTCAGTTTTTGTGCCTTTAATTCTGGTTGTTGGCTACCAGACAGCAACTAACCCTTAAATCGCTCATAAAGAGGGAATTGTTGCCGCCCGACAGAAGATTCAGCCCCATGCGTTTAGCAAGGAAAGGAGTAGTGTCCAGAGTCGTGAATGTTTAATTTCTGTCTGAGATCTGCGTCCTAGTGTTGTCTGTTGCAAATGCAGGCATTTATTGTCAGCTGGATATGAGCAGCCTTGTGGTACAGCCAGACCGTGGTTAGTGTGCTATTCCACTCCATAGCAGGGTCACAGAGATCAAATGTTTATAGGCCAGGAGTTTGTGACCATCACGAACAAGAGACTGAGAGGGTGGGCAAGATAGCTCAGTGGACTAAGCTTGAGGAAATGTAGAGACAGGGTTCTATCCCTGGCACCACATGCTGTGCCGGCCCTGCCCCCAAGCCCCGCCCCCAGGCCCCCCCAGCCCCCCCCCCAGGTGCACTGAGCAGGTCATTGAGACCAGGCATGGTGGCACATGCCTCTAATCCCAGGGCTGGGGAGGCTGAATACCGGAGCACCACTATGAGTCCGAGCTGTGTAGTGAGACCCTGTACCAAATATTTTAAAAAATAAAATGAAAAAAAAACTGAACTCAGAAGGCAGGGATATGTAGAGGGTACTTACTCCTATGTACGGGGACATCTCCAAGTTCTGTAATATTTATAACATATCTATTTTTTAACCACGAGAAACACACTTATGCCAATCTCGAAAAAAAAAATCAAATATGTTATTTTAGATTTTTCTTTTTTCCTTCACCCTTAGCTATTCCTCTGGGTATTCTAGTTGTCCGTGGAGACTGTGACTTGGAGACTTGCCGTATGTACATAGACCGCCTGCAGGAGGTGAGTTTGTTTAGCCAATTTTTTTTTCAACTTTTCATTTACATGAACAATTTCCAGCCATATGTACATCTCAGGTATGATACATCTGAGGCATCCTTGTCCTAACGCATACACTGGGCATCTCACCCAGCCTATCCCTTGTTTTATCCTCCTCTGGTGGGTGAAATGGGAAAGGATTGAGTAGGGTAGCAATGGAGAGCTGTTGCCCTAGTTTATTCCATAACTATAGCTCCGAACCTCTGTCTTCTCCCTTGCCTCTGTACCTGTATTTTTTGAGCTATACAGAGTTTCAAAGAACACTGATAAATAATGAAAGAAAAAAAGACATTTGAGGTTACTTTAATGTTTTGTATCTGGCACGGATGTTGGTCAGAGACAGCTAGATTTTTTTTTTTAAAAAAATGAAACTTCTATGAGAGAGAAATCTTTCATATTCATGGAAATTTGTCAGAACACAAAAGAATGATCTGTCTGTTATTTTATTCCTGATACAATCTGGTCTTGCCATATGGAAACATAAAGGAAAAGATTCCATCCCCGTGAATCTGAGGTGCAGCAGCAACGCCAGGAGACCCAAATTCAGCATTACAGTTATCATTAATTGCTTTTGAAGTGTTTTGAGGGAGAGAATTAAAGGTCATCACCTACCAATGGCAAAACTGTGAATAGCCATTCTTATATTTTTGTTTGTTGATGAAAGATACTCATTAGAGTCAGCTTTCTCAGATGGGGCCGGAACATTTACATTTTTATCTTCAAGCTGTTGGGTAAATCTGACGGATATCCCTAGACAAGCAGCTCTGCTCCACTAGATATAACTAGTATAATAAAGTAT